GTGTGTCCCCCCCCCATCCGAGAACTCAGCAGCCCCCATCCCTCCCCGCAGGCCCCCCGCGTCCTCCTTGGCTCGGCTCACCTCGGTTTCGGCGGGGCGGCCACCGGCATCACAGGCTCCAGCTTCGCCTCCTGATCCATCACCGGTTTCCCCTTTCCGGGTCGGCGTCTTGGTGCACGCAGGGGACGGTGCGTCGCCTGAGCCCGGGGGGCAGGCACCGAACGGGTCCTGCGGGAGGAGGAAGAGGAGGATGGGTGCTCTGCAAGCATCGCCAGGGCCTTCGTCACGCCCAGCTGTGGGGAACGGAGAGCCGCCTCCTCCAAGCCTGGTGGCTCTTGGGGCAGCTGCCAGCTCTGGGAAAAAAAAAGCAGGGCTTTTGGGGTTGGAAAAGGACTTTCAGTGCCACCAGGCTCCTAAACTTGTCCTGCGCTGGTGGGAGGGGATGCTGGGGGGGGGCGGCTCTCGCTGAAGCCTCCCGAGCCTGAGCACCCGGCCAGGCTTCCCCCATCCGTCCCCGTGACATCCCAAGGGACGCCGGACCCGGGAGTCCCCAGCCGCCAGACCGGGTGCGTTCGCATTCCTCCAGCCGTGCCGAAAGCCGCGCTCGTGGGGCAGACGGTCTCGCCCGGCACCAGCACTCGGCCCGCGCGTGAGCGGCTCCTGGCGATTTAAAAGGAAGAATAAGGAGGGAAGAAAAGATTTCCAGCTGTCGGGAGAGCAAAGCTCGACCTAAAAAAACCCCCCAAAAATAATAAATCCAAGGAACGCGTTGTATATATCGGCAAAGCCAGAAATTCCTGCAAATAAAGGGCTGGGAGGCTCCACCGAGCGGGCTTGCCGCTTCCCCGCGTCTGCTCAGCCGGACGCTTAAAAGCTTTACCTCCTCCGGCGTCTGTTTCCAGAATAAATCGTAACATCCCACCTTGGGCTCCTGCCATCCCCAGCTGGCTTTATTTAGGAAGGGAAGGGCGCTTTCTTGACGGATACCTCGCTCGGAAAGGGGGTTTCGCTCAGCCACTTCACCAAGCCCGGCTGCTGGGCCGGGGGCAGTCACGGCTGTTTCTGGATGAAAGGCTGAAACTTCAGGAATGCTTTAGGAATCTGAAAAGGCGGATTTGGGAGGAAATCCACCGTAGCGGGCGGTTTCGGCTGGGAACACAAGCCGTCGCTTATGCTGGAGGACGTAAGAGGGGGATCCCGGCATTTCCACGGGTGCTGAAGCGTTCCTTACCCCTCGGGTGCTGCCGGGGCTGGAACGGGATCCCAGCCAGCCCGGGATTCGTTCGCATCGGGCTGTCGAGAGAGGCTCTCCCTCCGGAGAGACGCGCTGATGAGTTACCAGCAGAAATTAAAGGCTAAGAGGCATCAGGAGTGCGATGAACAGGCGCGGTCGAATCTCGTCCATCTCCCGTGTTTATCCTGGAAAGCCGTGCTGCCAGTTGCGAGCCCTTTCCGAGGCCAAGCGCTCGCTTCCCCCCCCCTGCCGGGAGCCGCGGGACGGAGGAACGCCGTCGGTCGGACGGAAGAACGCCCGCGGCCGCCCGCCCAGCAGCAGGCAGGGGCTGGGAGCGCCCGGCGCCGGCAGCAGCGGCTTTTCTCTGCCTGACGTTTTTTCACCGTGGGATGGGGGAATGCGGGTGGGCTGCGGTGCCCGGCGAGCCCCCTTGCCCTCGCCTCCCGCAGCGCGAGCCCAGCCAGGCGCCGGGATGGAGACGCGAGCTGTCGGCTGCTCTTTTGCTGGCCGGGTCTGTCCTACCAGCTCTTTTCTGGGACCTGATTTAGGCTGGTTTGGTGGGAGTCCCCGTCCCGTGTGTGTTCCCCCCCCCCCCTTCCAGCACAGGGGAAATTCTGGGGCCTGCTCAGCCATGCTCTGGGTTTACCAGCTAAACAACTCCTGCTGCTGTGCCAAAAATCCTCCCGTTCCCCGGTGCGCGGGAGCGTGGGGAGGGCACAGACCGACTGTGCTCCCTCCTCGTTAGCCAACGAGACGAAGAGCTTGGGAAACGGTCTGGCTGTAAGGATCCAAAATGGGACAGGGGAGAGGACAGGGGAGAGCCGAGACCCCGCAAACCCCAGCTCGGCTGCCGAGGCTTGCCCGGCGTCCTGCTCCCTCCTCTGTGGCACCGTCCTCCTCCCAGGCTCGCGGCCATCCCCCCAGTCAGTCAGCCGCTGGTCGGTCCCCTGATTTCCAGCCCTCGCAGCAGGGGATGCGGAGAAAGCCTTCGGAAAAGTCCCCGGAGAAACACGGGGTCTGCGGGGGGGGGGGAACGGGGCCGGGCGGCTTGGCTCCGGCGCCC